AAGGTTCAGACACTAGATTACTATTTAAGGCTTATTTTTCAGCATTGAAAAAGTTCTTCAGGTGATACCTGAAGAATAAAAAACAAAAACAAAGCAAACAAACAAAAAAAAAACCCCAACAACTCAGCAGTCATGCAGAATATAGAGCACTAGAAGCCAAAAGGAAAACTTCAGTTGCTATTAGTAGATTTAGAATCAAGCTCTAGAGGTTATGTTTGTGCTTCAGAAAGCACCCCATCAATTTTGGTAAACAGTTTCTAAGATACTTTGTTCCCCCAGAAAAGCAGGCTGGTCTCTGAGCATGGCTCTCCCCTCCCACTGGCAAACCTCAGCCTCATTTCCACTGAAGTCATGATACTAAATCAGCCTAATGAGATGGATGAATCAGTCCTTTGGTCCTCAGATTCATTTTGCACTCAATCCCAAACACTAGCACTCAGCTTGCAGGAAATCTTGAGACTATGCGTTTCACAGAGTGCAGGCAGAAAACAGTGATTATGGTCGGATGTGTTTTTGCTCAAACTTAGCAAAGCATTTGATTGTTTACTGTTAGAGGAATTGCTATGTCATCAGACAGGCTACAGGGCACGCATGTAAAATCTAGATCCCTTATTTCTCTCATAAAAAGTTATGTTCAGCACAAGCAGAAGCGAAATGAAATGAAGCTCTACTGACAGGACAAGTCTGGGCAGAGTTTGATGTTTAGGAATTTAGCAACATAAAGCTCATTATAATCATATACTTCTACAGATAGACTATTCATGTGTCACATGTTTGGGCTCACTTTAGAAAATGTCATTCTAAATTATGCCACTGAAAAAAAATCTGTATTATTAGAAAGACAATGAATGTTGGAGAGAAAATAATCTGGATAATGAAGAAATGGATGTCTTCTAGGATATATTAACTTATTTTTTAAACAAACTGCTGCATATAAGAATTCTCTAATTCAATAAAGAACATAAATCACGAGGACTAACAATTCTCCAGATGTTCCAAATTGAAGATACACTCACATTGAGCTAATACATTCATTTTGGCTTCCCACTGGATCTTGCCTAGCCCCTTCATACAAAGCGTTCAAGCTAGGACCACAAATAGCACCTCCCTCTGCTATGAGCAGAAGTGGCTGCTTCTTGTGGTGCGTGACAGGGATCATACTTCCAGTGTACTGGCTGTGTCCCCAGCAACATGGAGGAGGCCCCCCTGGCAGGACCAGAAGAAAAACTGTCAAAGAACAGGCAGAAATCACCTCCTGCTCTTCCACCACCACTGCTCAGGCTGTGCAGGCAGCATGCACTGGTGCAGGTCACACCACGCACCTCTCCTTACCCACACTCTCTCCTGCTGAGAGGACATCTCCCACCCTTAGAGCACCAGATAACTTGTCTGACTCCTAGGGTTCACGAGAAATGCAGATCTAAGGGAAGATGACAGCAGCTCTCCATGCTGCATTGTGTGTGTGTGCATATACTTTAAATGTGCTACACACAAGACTCTGAAGATTAACTGACTCTATAAATGCACTAATTTATAATTCAGCAGCAGCAATGATGCGAGGCACTCTATAACTCATACTTGATGGCCTTTGCCTAGAGTCAAGTATATACAAGGAGCTGACAGCTATCAGAAAGGGCAGTGGCTAAAGCATAACAGATGCTGATTTAAAGTAAAACTTGTTCTGAAGGCAGAATGCGAACGTAAAGCAAAATTAGTCCTTCACTTGAATAATCACAAGATTTAGTCTCTCCAGTTTTAACGACATCCTTAGATACACACTACAGTTGCTATAAAATCAGTTACTGTACATAAGCACAGCCATGGTAATTTCTTAAGTTCTCTACACCTAATGTTTTCTTGTCATTTTATTCTTTCCAATTTCAGCTTAAAAATCAGTTAAAAAAAGGTTTAATTGATCCTGCTTTACTCTCTAAAAAGCCTCCAAGTGCCTACAAGTCTCAGCGTTCAGTCAGTTCACTGACATACAATAGATTTCCATGCTGCAATGACCTGCTGAGATGGCCAAGCCCATCATTAAAATTGAAGGAACTGTCTTATCTTCTTGACTGTTACTTTGCACCAGGATAATTCTGCTAGATGCAGTTGAGGGACTGAAAGAGGAAACATCAGCAAAGAGTGAATGGCACAAGAATTCACCAAGGACTGACTTTTGATTTAGATAATCTCATAGAGAGGGGCTCTGCAACAACAAACAGTGCTTTTACATTAGAGACAGAACAGACTGGGGATATCCTTTAAGTACTGTTGAGTCCTAACTAAGAATATTCTATTGTTCTGATCACTCGTACTCCAGAAAGATGAAAATGTATCCTAACAATGAACTAGAGCTAGAAGTGCTATTCACAAAGATGCCAGCAGGTGGGTTAATTATTCAAGAGGTATGACAACACTAGCCCAAGAAGAGAGAGACATAAGTCAACCATAACATCTAGAATTAGAAGAATATACTAGAGCAGTAAGATGAGAGCATGAATACACTCCATCTTTTTAAGATAGAGCATGATCAATTAATCACTACTAGCATTGTCTGTTTCTGCAAGTTGCAGCAACACTACAGCCACTGCAGGGTTGTTTCCTAGGTTACTATGATACCCTGGATTCATGTTAATGTAAGCAAGAATCAATTCCTGGATGTAATGTATGGACTAATGGATAGGTACTATAATTTGCTTCAGTACCCATTAGTCTTTTTCATAGCATCTGTATTTCAACCTCTTTCAGGCACACAGATGAAACCAGCACTTTGAGTTAGGGAAGAATGAAGGGAACAGACTTGTTTTTCATTGATATTCTGAAGAATGTGGGAAATATGTTATAAGGCTGCACAGTTTAGGTCTAGTCTAGTACCTAGTCTTCAGCAAAGGCTTTAACATCTGCCACAGCATTCTCCTGGGGAAGCTGGCTGCAGCTGGAAGACTGTGCAGAGGAAAAGGACCTGGGGATGCTGGTCAATACTCAACTGAGTGTGAGCCAGCAGTGGGCCCAGGTGGCCAAAAAGGCCAATGGCATTCCTGGCTTCTATCAGGAATAGTTGCCAGCAGGAGCAAGGAGGCAATTGACCCTCTGTCCACAGCTCTGGTGAGGCCACATCTTGAGTACTGTGTTTAGTTTCAGGCCCCCCACTACAAGAAAGACATTGAGGCCCTGAAACACGTTCAGACAAAGGCAACAAAGCAGGTGAGGGGTCTGGAGAACAAGTCTTGTGGGGAGTGTCTGAGGGAGCTGGGATTTAGCCTGGAGACTATGAGGGGAGACCTCATAGGTCTCTACAAGTATCTGAAAACAGGTTGTGGCAAGGTGAGGGGTAGGACTGGAGGGAATGGCCCAAAGTTACACCAGAAGAGGTTCAGGCTGGATATTAGGAAAAATTAATTCATGGAAAGAGTACTGATGCATTGGCACAGGCTTCCCAGGGAGGTTGGTAGAGTCATTATTCCTGGAGGTTTTCAATAAACATGTAGATGTGGTACTAGGGAATACGATTCAGTGGGTAACATAGGTGGCAGGTAGGGCATTGGACTAAATGATCTTAGAAGGCTTTTCCAACTTTAATGATTCTATGATTTTTGCACTTTTGCTCAAAAAAACAAAACAAAACAAAACACCCCACACCCAAACTGACCCAACAGTTCATGAGGCTGCCTCACTTTGGAGGGAGAAGACAAAGCCTGAGGCACGTATTTTCATTTTTCCCCAAAACAAAGCTATATTTAATGCCATATGGATGAAAGAATGTAGTACAGATCTGGGCTGATTCTCTTCTTGATGCCAAAGCACAGAGCTTTTCTATCCAAACCACACCAGAATATCAGAACTCAGCTGCTGTGTAGGTCCTACAACTGCCATGCAGACTACAGTAGGTTTGACCGCTGCACTTTAGAGGTCTTTTCCACAAGCTATGATACCAACAAGAAAATGCTCTAAGTAGCTTTTATTTTGCAGTTAGCCTTTAGAAATGGATGGCTGTCATTTATAAATTAAATTTTGCAAGATATCCTTGCAAGATTAATGACTGAAATTCCATCCCTAAAATTGGAATCAGTCACTGCAAGTTTCACAATATTGAAGTGTTTATATTATCTTGAGATTTTAAGGCAGTGAGCTCCCACAGCAGCAATAGTGAGTACAATATATCAAAGAGATACATTTAAAGATGGCATGTCCAAGGCTACATAAAACAACAGTGACAAGAAACAGTTCATCTGCAGTTACTGGGCAATTTTAACTAGGTGCAAAAGATAAATCCACTGGATGAAGCAACTAGATCTCTGACATTTAAAATAATTTACTGCTGTGAAATAAAACTGTTGAAATAGGTAAGCTAAATACTTTAAAGTGTTACCTGTATAAAGACTTAGTTAAATCATTTAAAAAGAATATTGCTTAAAACTATTTGGGAAAACAGACTATTGTCTGTTAAAAGGCTTAAATTAAAGGCTTGTGAATTCAGTGACAGTACTCTGCAGTCAGCAAGATGGATTGTTACAGTGCCATCTTCTGCCTTTCTAAACACTGGCTCCAGTTAAGCACAGCTGCAACAGACTCCTTACTTTTTCCCTCATCTCTGTCAACCCTTCTTCAGTCAGCTCCACTGAGTATTTCTCTAATCTTACAGATTCTTGAGTGACTTTGGCTTCACTACTTGAGATGATCAGGGAAGAAATCATATGGAGAATCATTATGAAAGGCACCTGAAAGTGGAATTCATTCCTGAAAGTTGAAGCCCCAGCCAATAAGACAAATCACCAATTTATATGAAGGACACATGCAGAACCCAATTCTTATTTCTCACTATGTAATATCACCTCCTTTACCATCTATAAGAGATTAAAGCCACCAGCTTTATCTGAAACTGAAGTGTACAAATTCAGTGTAATATCTGAACAAAGCAATGCTTTAATAAATGTAAACATCACTTTTAAAAAGAAAAAGCAAATGCAGCTAAAGTTCTGCTCTTCCTAACACTGTCTCACACTTACCCCTGAACATTTCATGATGTGACCGTGCCTTTCTTGATGCCAGACAGTGTTCAGCTGACCTCAAAATCTGCAAGCAAAAAAAAGGATTCAAATGAAATCATTTTCTCTGCAGAGGACAAATGCCTCAGATTATTACTATCAAGTATGTGAAGTCTTTCAGATATGACAGTGATCTAGTCATATTCATATCTAGTTAACCACTTTAGAGTTAGATATAAACAGATAATATTTCAGCCCTGCAGAACAGGCTGACCTCCCACAAACCTCAAATTTAGTTCTTTCATGCAGTTTGTCTGTGCTGGTATTATTAATAGGCACACTAAAATGGGAACTTCACCCTGGCTCAGCTTGACTCATTGAATGGCCTTGGGCATCACATAACCTCTGTCTCCAGTCCGCTATCTGCATAATGTGTTTGTCTGTCTAGTGACTTTACAGAATTGTGGGAATATAAATGAGGCATTTCACAGTTTTTAGGTTACAATACACTGACGTCCCTCATAACCCCGGTGTATTTTTTATAATGTATCTCCTGAATTTTAACACAGACTTGTCTTTTCCATCAAGGCAACTAAACTGTTTAAGTAGAAGGAGGAATTATTTAAGACTTCCAAAATAAGCATCCTAAGATTAGTAACTTGAAGTAAAAGAAAGGAACCATAGCCATATAAAGCTTGGATTCTCACAGTCTCAAATATCTTTCTGTTGATGCTTTTAAATAAGTTCTTCACCATCCTAGGAAAAAGAAGAAAGCTTCATTTCCCAACTTTAGAAATAATAGGTAATGTGGTTAGTAAAATTTGTACCAAAAGGAAGAATCTGCTGGTTATTAATCTGGTAGTGAAAAAGAGTTGTATTATTTTGGAATCTGACCTGTTTCTGAGTGCAGGACAATCATATTCACTTCACTGCAGAGGATGTAAACCCTCAGCTGAGATCATAAAATAGCAGTTGAGTTATAAGCTTGGTTACGTATTTTTTGTTCTCCACTGAAATTATTCTACACTGTGACTCCTCTGCTCTGAGTATGGTCCCTTCTGTCTCAGAAAAAGGCTCCTTCCCCTTAAGGAATGCCCTCAAGGGACTTTTAAGACATTGACATGCAATACTCAGATGTTCGTTAATTTTTAATGTCAGCCTGAAGTAGATGCAAAAATATACACTCATCTGACATCAGTTCAAAACAGAAAGATGGAGCATCAAAAGTCGATTAGTTCAGCAGTGATTATTGCATCAGTGAATGCTGGAGATGATCTCCATGCAGCAGCTCTACAAGGCCCAGGCATTAGGCTGACTACTGCTGCTCCAATGGGTGCAGCCACTGAACTTTGTCAAGACGGTATTCTCTGTATGCTCATTCAGCCATCGTTCTCATTTTTTTTCCCTTGCCTTCCTCATTGTTTGCATTATTCCAGTCCAAAAGAACAGACAGCAATGTAAAGCAGTACAGTACAGGGTACTGTATATTGAATGGCACTGCCTTTAATTACTGGGCAGTGAATTGTTCTTCAAATTCAGGCCCTCTCAGTTATGTCATCCTGGAGCACGGTTCTCTAGACAGCACAGATCTCAGGGAATGGTAAATGCTATTCCATTTCTAATTATGTCACTAAAGTGCAGTGAGAAAAAACTGTATTACCCCAATCAGGCAACATGTAGATGTGTATGAATGTATAACAGATGCCTGGAATTGAATGTGCCTTGTCTGCCCATCCATAAGGAAAGAGAATTCAGAGCTTCAGTCTAACTCCCAGCTTGTGTCCTTGTGAAGCCTGGCAACAGGACAAGAAATAAGAACTCTAATGCTGATCTGATCCCTAATAATTACAGAAGTGTATGACATAACTACAGATGTTATATATAGTGTCTGAAAATGCTATTTTAAAAGACAGTTCAAATAAGAATGCAAAAATAACCAAGGTTGAATTCAGTGGCAATATTCCCATTGACTTCAATACGATATTTGCTTGTTCAGTGTAGTTGTAATTTTGGGTTAGTGTCTTTCCAGACAAAAGGAAGGAGTTACACTAGCTTAAAAACTACTCTTAAATCCAAAGCAAATAGCTCTTAGGAGCTGAGAAAAGAGCATTTTTTCCACAAAACTATTTGCATTTGGATAGAACTTTAGATATAATGCCATTGAAAGTAGCCCATATAAAAGCCCATATAAAAAGTTCTTAAAAAAATGAAATTGAAAAGCCTCAGAGGCAGAGCAGCAAGAGGCAGTTCTGCAGTCATCTACATTACTCTTTGATATCCTGATAACCAGAAAGCAAGACTTGAAAGTTGCTCAGTGGTTGAGCAAAGTAAAGCATAACAATATGCAATCAAAAACAAGAATATACTCCACCCTACTGCAACACAAACAGTAACAGCAGCAAAGCCAGAGGGACAGTAATAGCCCACAGGCAAAATAAGAGTACTACAGCAGTTCCTGATCCTGGAAAAAATACTTATAGTTAGGGCTATTTTTATAATTGCAGTGATGATAAAGCATATATTTCAGTACTTTACCTTATTACTTTATTAGTGATGGATTTTGCCACAGAGCAACTCTGTGAAGGGGAAAAATGAAAACAACTGAAGCATATAAGTGGCCCATTATGTCTTCTGAGAAGAAACAGTGAATTATTTATGATTAATGTGATAAGCAAAACCACTAGGTCTGGAGCTTAGCTATAAATACATCTTTTGATGCAGTTATTGATTTACCATTTAATGATGGTTGGTTAAAGGATGAGGTTGCCCAGGCTCTGTATCCATTACCATTACAGGACAAGTGCCAAGGACTTGTGGATAATTGCTGCTCTTGACTTTGATGTATCGCATACATGCTGCACCCATACTTCAATGGCTGGTTAGGTGCAGGGCGGGTGTGTTCTTCAACACTGACCAAAGCAGGCAGGTGAAATCCCTGAATCAGCACTTTATATTTGAAAACGTTTAAAGAAATACGAGTTATACAAAAGTTTACAGCTTGAACGGTAGTTTTGGGAACTGCTAGGTTGCATTCAATAGCTATCAACTATTTTCATCCACTGTCACTATTGCTTCACGCAGAAAGCAAATAGCCTGAGCTCCACTGCCTAAACGGCACTGCGAGGTTCTGCCACTAGAGCGCGTGGAGGCATACGTGAAGATTAAGCCTCTCAGAACCCCGTCATTAAATTCAAACTACCACCAAGACATCGGACAAAGGCAAGCAGCACCAATGTACTGTTTTTAATTATTTCCTTCTTGACTGTTAGAACTTGCCTTAAAGGTTGTCCTATGGGAAGGTGTCACCCCCGTGCTCCCCTTTTGCTGGAAGGGGGTTTTGATATGAAAACTGAATAACACAGACATCCAGAAATAGTCCTGCCAATTTTACAATGGATTACACCTGTGTTTTCAGTCCAGTGCCAGCGAAATATCACTTCTAGGCTAAGGCTTCTACTTTGGAGCCACATAATAACCCTGTTACTCTGTACTGGAAAACATACAACCAGGCAAAGCTGCTGCTTGTTTCTCTCAGTGCTAGATGCATGCTGAATAGCTGCATGTTCACTTGGCAAAGGAAAACAGCAACAAAGCACATACCTGTGCACAAACTGAAAATCTGCTGTTGTGCTGAGAATACGGATGCTGCACTGCTTTAAATAAAGCAATGTGAAAAGAGCCTATAAAAGTCGCCCTCTTTTATAGTATAAAAAAAAAAAAAAAGAGAACAGTTAAAATTAGAAGTGCGTAGGCACAAAGCATTGCCAGGATCAAACAGAATATGTTCAAATGTACACATTTAGAAATGCTAAAAATCAGGTTCTGCCTCCATACTTCGCAGAATCAAGGCTTGGCCCCTTCTCCATCTGTAAAGCCGCACTGACAGCACACCCTTCCCCTCTCTTTTTGCTCATTTCTTGCCTCTTCACATTGCAAACCCTTATTAGCTGTTTTGATCACACAAGCCAGGTCTTAGTAGTAGTTTTTCACCACCCATAGTGTCAACTCTGATGAAGATTTTAGCCCAAACTTATTGGCTATTCTTTAAAATACACCAAACAAGAAGAATAAAGCCCCACCGTATGTGTAGAGAGGATACCCACGGGACAACATTCACATCTGTAACCCCACGCATCTTCAAGTGGGTTTCTGAATGGAGACAAACAGTGATTATTATCTCCCTTACTTCCCTTAGGAAAGGTCCTGCTACACCTTTCTTGGAAACGCTTTGGCCCTACAATCTTAGGAAATACTCAAGAGACTCGCTAGGCCTGTCTGTCTCCTGTCACTGTGTTCTGGTGGCTGCTGCAGTATCCTCCTGCAGTGACATCTCTACCCCCAGTGGCAGAGCCCCTCATTAACCATTTTCTACAGTTAGAGTGTGAAGCCCAGAAAGTGAACTTGCTGCTTTTACAAAGAGGGAAGAACACCCAGGAGAAGGTATTTAAAATATATCCTGAGGCAGAATGAAATTGATTTATGCCAGGGATTATTTTTATCTTTCCAGTCAAGCAGCAGTTAGGCAGCAAAGTTTGCTCAGACACAGACATGCAGCACTGTTTTGGGCCAGACAGACCCGACAGCACTTGAGAATGAAGGACACTGAGCAGCAGGCAGACGCCTGCCCTCCTGCAGCCCTTCCCCACAGCACCTGCAGGGAGGGGTCCCAGATCTCTGCTCAGGCAGGTGCCAGACCTACCTTACCTGCACCATGTGGGCAGCACAGAGCAGCCTTACGCTGCTGGAGAACTGCCAACAGGCAATTTCTGCAGGGGAGGAAACTGGGATCCTGCATCTACCTCACCACACCTGTCCCAACAGAGCAAAAAAAAATGGAAAGATGTGGAGGTCCCCATACTGCATTTGTTCTTCTCATATTGACAGTAAACTTTTTGTGCGTTGAGAATCACTCGCCTACGAGTATCTGGGATAGGCCTCCTTCCTTTTAAGGAAAATTTAAACCCAAGAAGGAATGCATTCTCCCAGCCCTGACACCTCAATCCAAAGCCCGCTATCATCAGCATTGATTTTGAAGAGTCTGCACCAAATCCTAACAAATCACTTCTGTAGAACAACAGGGGGAAAAAA